GGACTGAGGCCGGTGAAAGAGCACCATGTAGCCTGAGTAGGGGTGGCGCGTGCAGCACCACGGCGGCAGAGGAGATAACTGAGGATGCCATTTATTTCTTTCTTTTAATTTGCTACTCAATTTAATTCTCTTGTGGGGTTATGTTATATTAAAAACTTTACACTATGGTATCTATTTATAGTGGGATTTAGGCATAATTGCATGCAAAGTGACAAAATAATTGAAAATTGACCGATCATTGGTTATTTCTTGGCCAATAATCGGATTATATGGTTTAATGTCACCATACAATATTTTGGTGGTAGAAATTTTATTTTGGAGGTTTAGCCTTATCAGCAGGCGCCACGTATTAGCTTGCCACGTGGCATGGGATTAGCAATCTTATCTAATCAAGAAACAAAATGAAAATGGGAGGATAGGAATTTGGGAGGGGTTAAATTTTTAAATTTTGTTTGGCTAATTATGGGACTACTACATACATCTTTAGTTAGTTAAGTCAAATGTGTATTAGTTGTTCTCTATTAGTTGAAATTAATTGAACTTATTCACCAACTACATTTCTCAAATCCAAAAATTTCGATTCGATTCATGTACACTTTGTTAACCACACGCCTGCAAAATATAAATATGAGACAAGAAATGCAGGAACAAATAAATTTATTATCAAAAATAAAAATGGGATTACGATTCCCGTAATTTCCCCTGATTCCTCTCCAAATTCGATTCAAGGGCTTATAAACTTGTTGTTGAATCGAATAAACATAAACACCTTGAATTCACATATGTAATGAATTCGCTGCCGAGACTGAAGAGTTGAGCTTGGAATTCGATATTTGTCTATGTATGAATTTGTCTTTTTTTTTTTTTTTTTTAATGCACCAGGCTTTCTTTTACACGCACAAGCTAGGATTTTCTTGTTTCGAAGCATGAGTCGGGACATTTATAAAGCCCAAATATATTATAAACTTTGAATTGAAACCGAAATTAATAACCAATTTTGAAATTCTTCTCCTAGATATTGTCATGAAATCCAAAGTCATTGATTTGCAAATTGCAACCTTATGTTGTTCTATGACTTGCTTGAATTGGTTGAATTATTTATTTCAAATTTACAATAGTCTATCTATAAGCTTGTTTGGGTGATTGATTACACGTCCATTGGATCTCGAGTTTTTAATTACTGTTTTTTTTGTCTGATAATTTTAAATCATTAGTGCAGTTAAATATAAAAAATTACATAATTAGTGATAGTGAAATGCTCTTTACGGTTTAAAAATTGCTATTTACCGTTCAAAACAAAAAACACTTTATCTCTCTAATAAGAATGATAAAGTTCAAAACAAAAAACACTGCACTGTCGGGCGCCCGAGGTGGGCTTTTAAATGTTTAGCCCATTTTTTTGGATCGAAAAGACGGAATTTTTACCTCGTTATGTCCGCTATCCAAATCTTCATCCGATGAACTCATTTATGTTCGTATATCACACCAATAAGAATGATTTGTGATGAAATCGCCTTGAGAGCGTTGTTTTAGAGAGAGAAAGAGAGAGAGTCTTTGAACGGTAAATAACAATTTTCAAACCGTAAAAAGCAAATCCCTTAGTGATATGGGCTAGGTCGCTATAATAAGCTCAATGGGCTTATAAAGCACACCGTGCAAAGAATTGTTCTAGCTTCCACGATGAAGCCCAACTCGGAGGGCAGTTCTTATCGTTTTTAATTTTATAAAAAAAAGGGGTAAATTATAACCACCATTGAGATATGATCAAATTACGAAAATCTCCCTTCTAATTGGATAATTACAACCACCCCTCAACTATAAATCTTCTTGCACGTCCATCCTTGCAGTTTAAAATTTAGTGGAATTTTCGAGATTACATGGAATATTATCACTTTTGTACCCGTTTTATCCCATTCGAACTCTACATTTTGAAACAAGACGATCATAATATGTGTCTTTTGGCTTGTAAATATCAGGTTGTGATGCATAACTGTATTTTTACACAAAACGAGTACAACTAGAGCACATTCCACGAAATCTAGATGGTTATGTTGAATTTGACACCATAAGGGTCGAGGTGTAAGAAAAAATCATAGTTGAGGGGGTAGATGCAATTATCCAAACAAGAGGGGTTTTTCGTAAATTGACCATACCTCAGGGGTGGTTGTAATTTACCCAAAAAAAGAGAGAGGGGGAGAGATAGACACGGCCACGGGCCGGTTCGGGCCGGTTCCGGGCCGGTTCGGACCGGTTCACGGTTCACATTTTCTGGAACCGGAACCGGCCCATGGCGTGCACGGTTCACCGGGTCGGCCCGCCGGTTCGGGCCGGTTCACGGGCCTATCCGGGCCGGTTCCGGGTCGGCCCGGAAATTTTGAATTTTTTTTTTTTGTTTTTTTTTTTTTTGAAATATTTAATGAATAAGTAAATTAAAAGAAATACTTTTAAATAGATAAAGGAAAAGGAAATAAATGAAAAGTCAATTTAGAAGCACAAGTTTGAAATATTTGATGAATAAGTAAACTATAGGAAAAATTGGGGTGTGAGAGTATTTATAGGAAAAATTGGGGTGTGAGAGTATTTATAGGAAAAATTGGGGGGTTTGGGGGCAAAAAAAATTCAAAAAAAAGCAAAATTGGGGTGTGAGGGTATTTATAGGAAAAATTGGGGGGGGGGGAATTCAAAAAAATTCAAAAAAAAAAAATAACGGCCGGTTCACCTGGGCCGGTTCGGGCCGGTTCACTAGCCATTATTTG